CCCCAAAACCCCAAAACCCCAAAACCCCAAAACCCCAAAACCCCAAAACCCCAAAACCCCAAAACCCCATTTTTATAATTTTAATTGAACCATATTCTTTGTTAGAAGACCTGAGCAACTAAATTACCAGAATGGTCTCTCAATGTATCACATGCTAGTTGGAACTTGATCCATAATTCACATTGCTCAATGAACTCTTTCAAGCTATCAGCCATCTTAGGAGAAACTTGGGTGGCGAAAAGGTGAGCTTCTTCTATATTTCCCTCTGCTAAAGCTTCTTCTATATAATTCAACAAACGAATGTCTCGTCAGACCTCTGAATCATCCTTGACAATGTGTCCAATGGAATACTTCTTTTCGAATTTAAATTTATCAAGAATCAAATAGGTATAGAGGTAATAGGATGTCCTTCCAAAAAGGTTTAGCAAGGTCTTCTTACGCTGGAAGCAATCCCAGTAATAGTCATGCCTGTTATTAGCAAATATAGTTTCAAGCTTCCTTGCTGTTATAACATCAGTGGAAGTTTGACCGTTGGAGAGGAGGTCATCAATGATGGTAGAAAGTAGTTCGTCCTGTCCTTTGGAGAAATCTTTGACCTGCATGAGGTCGGAAGATATGTTTCCTCCTACAAGTCTTACTCTGTTCATCTTTGCACAAAGAGAGTCTATTTCATTGTAATATTGAAGAATGTCAATCTTTTTGCTTGTGCTCATATAATTAATTTTGGCTATCCTTTTCTTTCTTTGATCCATGTCTTGTGCTGTACTTTCGATTTCGTTTTTCATTTCTTGGATCATTGCCATCAGAATGGACTTCTCATCCTCAAGTGCTCTGATTTGAGCTAGCTGATCTGTTCCTCTCTCAATGGTCAAAAAGTCTCCTTTCTTATAATTATGGAAGTATTCCTTTAACCTTTCATAACTTGTGGCTGCAGAATCATGATCTCTATAATATTCCTTGATCATAAATTTGAGTCTGACATATCTCGCTCTTGAATCTTCGTCCACATTTGTAAGATCTTCAGGAATGTTTAGCTCAATATCTTTGATGCATTCTTGCCCTTCTTCAATAAAGTCCTTGACTTTATTGAGATATGAAAGAACAGCTGACTCACTTTCAGTCTTTATTTTGCCAAATTCTCTTAAAAAGGACTGAGATTTAGCCTTTAGATTCTGAAAATGAGCTTCTCTGTACTCTTCAACTTTGGTTTCTGCTTTGTTGAACTCCTGTTGGAGATCATTAATTTCACCCTCGATCAGGTTCCTTAGCTTATCAAGGGTTTCCAGCTGCCTTTCAATCTTGGATTTCTGTGCATCTAGGCCTTTGAAAGCTTCCTCAATTTCGTGATTGACTTCCCTGATGTTTTTGGTAGCTTCTTCATATCTCTCAGGATCCTTGATCTTGTCGAGCCCCAGTAGTTGATGAACTTGACCAGTGAGATCTTGTTGCCTTCTGAGGAATCGAGTATTATATCCTTCTGGAATCAGCTGATATTCTTGCTCTAACTCTTGCTCGATCGAGTTCCTGATTTGGCTAAGCCTGTGATCCTTAGCTTGTTGGAAGGACTCTTCATTGAGATAAAGAGCAGGATTAGACTGCATCTTCTTTCTCTGAGTTGGTACATGAGGATGGCTTTCTTTCCTGTACTCCAAAGAATTATTGAGAACAAAACCAATCCCTCCAAAGATTATAAGATAGCCCAAGAGTTTACTCCTAAAGAACCCAGACTCTCGAGAAGGTGGCTGTTGCTCTAAGGTATTTTCTTTGACAGGGTCTTCAGCCTTGGCAGGAGCTTCTTTTGTCTCAGGAGTAGATTTAGATTCCTCCTTTGAATGGATTTCTTCCTTTTCACCCTTAACAAGCTTCTCTTTGGCCTCAGATTCCTTTTGTGTGGAAAAGTATCTATAATGGATACTAAAAATTGCTCTTGGTTTTATGCCATTTTCAGGGCTAAAATCTCTAGTTGATTAAAACTTACCTAGCTTGATTTTTCAGAATTGTTCTGGAGTAGGCATTCAGCACCCTCCTTCTGGATGCATATGCTGCTCTACAAAATTGATGAAATTTTTACCTTAGAATCATTTTATAGAATTTCTATTATTATAAAATTATAAGGGGTTTTGGGGTTTTGGGGTTTTGGGGTTTTGGGG